GGAAGCATAGAAGCTGCAAATAATCACTAAAAAAGACCAGATCAGACCAAGATATACCAATCAGATATTATGGTTTCAGCACAATAGTTTAACCTTATTAATCTATTAGTATAAAAAAATCACTCATATAATTATTATTATGATTGATGAGTGTTGGAAAAATTGCATATACATAAGCAAAAAAAGCAACAAAAATAAATGACGCAGATTCGTAGATTGGAGACCAGAAAAAAAGTTGGTGACTGTCAAATGAAAGTGCCACAATGGATGTGTCCAGTCTAGACAGCTTCATTAAATATAATAGGAGGGATTTAGTTCTGTCTTTTATTAATACACAAAGACAGGAATTAAAGTAAATTGACTTGGTTAACTTTGTTCACCGCACTATATGATTCCCACTGATTTCATGTCAAAGCATTCAACATTTTCTACTTGTGACATGTTCCATGTTTGATTCATATAAAAACGTCTCTTCCTCAGAGAATGAAACCATTTGCTGGTTTTGAATGGCCGTTTCGACATCAAGGCCACTCAAGGAGCTCAAGGACAAAAGGATGAGGTGAACAATAACGACAGACCAGAGACCCTGAGCCAGACTGAGAAGCTCAATTGTAGGCTAGAGTCAGGCTGAAACAAAAGGATAAAGAGAATAAACCTGGCGACATCTCTATGCTGTTTATTCATTCGCCCTCCCAGCAGTTTCAAATCAAAGAACCGGACATTATTTACATTCCTTGTGCTCAGCAGCTATAAAAAATGAATCCTCTTCAAGGAATTAAATAATTGCGTTCCGCGAGCTAATTTGAATGTTGTTCTCCACATCAAAGGCACATAAAGCTCAGTAAATTCTCCACAGAGAAAGGAAAGAGGTAAACAATAGCACAAATAAACCTGAGATCTTACAGTAGCTGCATTCCAATTCACTTCACATCCATATACAGTGTGTATGAGATTACGTTAGGTTAAAGTAAATTAATGTAAGATTTTTTTAAAGCAAAAACACAGTAAAAGTAATATTGTGAAATATTAAAATGTAAAATAGATTTTATATATATATATATATATATATATTAGTGCTGTCAAATGATTAATCGCATCCAAAATAAAAAATTTTGTTTACGCAATATATGTGTGTGTACTGTGTATATTTATTATGTATATATAAATACACACACATGCATGTATATATTTAAGAGAAATGTGTTGTTTTTATACTAAATATATTTATATATATATAATATAAATTATATGAATATAAATATATGCCTGTAAATATTTTCAAAATATATACTGTATATGTGTATTTATATATACATAATAAATATACACAGTACACACACATATATTATGTCAACAAAAACCTTTATTTTGGATGTGATTAATCGCAATTAATCGTTTGACAGCACTAATATATATATATATATATAATAAAAAAAAAAAGTAATTTATTCCTGTGATCGCAGAGCTGAATTTGTCAGCATTACTTCAGTGTCACATGATCCGTCAGAAATCATACTAATATACTACTTTGGTGCTTAAGAAAAATTTCTGAGCATTAACTGTATTCTAAACATTTTTTCAGGATTATTTGATGAATAGAGTGTTCAAAATAACTGAATTGTTTGGAATAATGCAAGTCTTTACTGTCACTTTAATGCATCCTTACTGAATTAAAGTATTAATTTCTTTCTAAAAAGATGGCACCAATTAGATGTTCTTGCAGTTGCATGAAAATAGAATGTGTAGTGAATACAAGAGGCATGATAGACCAATCAAAAATCAAGTATTCCAGACCGAGTGTAATAATACTTCCTGTTTCCTAAATGAACCTGATAAATTAAACTCATCTTAACGTTCTCCATTATTACAGGCTCTTGGCTCACAGCTCTGGTCTGTTTTAAGGGAGGTTCTTGCTTCAGCTGTTCGTATCTGTGTTCCAAAAGGTAGAAATGGAAATTGACATCTTGATATGCCATTATCAGTAAATTGGTCATATCCCCCTTCTCTCAGATAGCACAAAACCGTGCCACGCTGCCCAACAGCACGTCTCCTTGGTGACTGTTCCTGCTAATAGCCGCACATGTGTTGGAGTGAGCTGCTGATGGTATGTTGATGGGTGGAGCCAGACCCTGTGCTGGGATTTGCTGCATTTGGCCAATGCCAGCTTGGCCAGCTGCCGGTTGGCACTTGACCGTTGAGAGCGGTGGTTGACTCGTGCTGTGTTATTTAGCCAGTGTGAAGGCATTGCTAGGCTTTGTCAGATGGGTTTACTGACTCAAAACAGAAAGAGATAAGATAGCAGAGAACTATTTCACCAGCAGAAACTACACTCATGGGTTCACTAGGGCAAAACCCTTTCAAAAAGGTACTAATATGTACACTTTAGGTGCTATTATGCACATTTAAGTTACTAGGTACAAAGGTGTATCTTTTGAAAGATCTTCACACCATTGAAAGCTTTTGTATCTTTTTTCTGAGAGTGTAGACATGCAATATTGATTTTTATGTGTTTTTATGTATGTAATACTAATAATATAATATATAATAATATTTTTCTTAACTTTATAATAATAATATATTCATACATTAACATGACAAATAAACAAATAATTTATAATAAATAATACATTTTTTTTTCAGCATTTATTAATCTTGATTGATGTTCATTGATAAAAAATACTATTGTTTATTTTTAGTTAATAATGTAGTAATGTTAATATGTACAACATTTTTAAAGAAATATAGAAGTATTTGTAGAAATTAACATTTACAAGAATAATAAATGCTCTTGTTAGTTAAAGTTAGTACTAAATTGCACTTAACAATTCTTTTTTTTTTTTTTAATAAAAATGACTCAGTTCAGTGAGAAAGTCAGTTGTGAACTCAGTATCAGCTTTAAATGATTCACTGATTCAGTGGATCTGATTCAGAACAATAACTTGCACAACGAATTTGAGACCTGTTTTATGAATCTTTTTGACCGACTCATTAAAAATAACTGGTTGGATAAGAGTCTTTTGTGGCGTTGTGGCACGCTGTGTTCATTGTTACGTGCAGGAAACACGTATGAGAATATATATATCTCACATAGATGCAAAAAACTTTTTTTCTTGAATAGATTTTAAATTATTCTCACAAGGTTTTTTTTTGTCTCATATAGTCACAATTTGGTTCGCAACCTGTGCATCTCTAAAAGAAACATCTCATGTATTATTTTCAGAAGTATCCACACGTCAGAAAAGACCACTATAATTAGTCTGGCTTAACTTTAAGATCCACCAGCATCACCAAACCATTTTTTCTAACTATAATAAATCAGCCTGGGCCAGCATGGAAATGCATGCTGGTCTTGTCAGCAGGTGTCAATTTTTTAAATTGTAAGCGTTTTCTTCAAATTCCGTGACAACCTCAATTTTCTGCACAGGATGAAATTTTTCATCTGGTGAAAGCAGGCACATTTTGCCCACATGCCTTCCAGTTGAACCTGTATTAATTTGTCTTCACTGGCGGAGCTCCCTGTGGCCCCTCAGGGCACCTGATGGATGGATGGATGTACAGGGTTTGCTAGGACTTTATAAAAAGACAGCGAGACAAGCAAGATGGTCAGCAAAATGTGGTAGTTGGCAGGTTCCTTCACAGAATCAACCCTCCCTCTCACACAGGCACTGAGACGCAGAGACAGAGAGAAAGGGTTAGAGAATGGGAAAGGTTGGTGACAGAAAAAGTTGCTAAGCACTATTGCAAGCAAAACTAGGTGCAGAAATGGTGCTTTTTCAGTGTGTAATTCTGCACTAAAGCGTGTCAGGTGTCACAGTGTCAAGAATTGAGAAAGTTGTTGTGTGCACTTTTTTTCCCCAAAGATGGGAAAGGCAGAGGACTCTAGAACATTAAGCCAACTGAGGCAGTGTGGTACAGTCATTTACCAAGGGATGTTGTTGACCACAATACAAAGTGGAGCTTTAATAAATGATGGCAATAAAATGCTTTTATGTTATTAGTCTGTGGTAAAAAATAAAATGTCTTTTAAATCAAACTTTTCAAATTGTGTTAACATATATATTACATTAATATTATAAATTATATTAAAATTATATATTTAATTCAGCATCACAACTATCTGTTTTATTAATTTCAGTTAAGTTCAGTCCTTGGGTCAGACTGTCCACAGGTGAAGGTGGGTTGTGGAAAGGTAATCAGGTGCAGTGATCTCTTAGTTTCACAAAAGCCACAGTCCCACTGCTGTCTCTCATCGACCCCAAACAATCAAACTCTGACTGAGAGAGAGAGACAAACGGGGGCAGATCAATATAGACTCCACGCACCAGCCATGTGGAAGCCGTGGATGCTGCGGGGATCATTGGAGTGGCCTCAGGCATTAGGAGAGCAGGGTACTCATCCTTCCCATAATCCTCCTAACGGACTACTTTCAACATCTGGAATGAGAAGTGAACATCTGCCCTTCCCTCTCAATTTAGAAATCCCCATTACTCCCTTTTTCTGGGTCTCTCACTAAATGAATGCTGTACTGCTTCACAAAGGATCTACTATGGGCCTGGAAGAGAACACCAGGATATTAAACATCACAGAATAATATAGCCAAACCTAAAAGTTATTAATTATTATACTAATGTTAAAAAGTTTATTCCTGTAGGCTTTACAATAATGTAATACATATACATATTTATATATATATAAAAAGATCTTAAAGCTACAAAGACAAAAATAGATTGTTTACTTCTAAAGGTCAGAGACAATGGACAATTGTTATAAAAAAAATTAACTTATGACTTTTTTTTAGTAAAGGAAACCTTGATTTCAACATTTAACATAAGTAAGACTTAAAACAAAAAAGCTTGATTTCATTTTATTCTTCTATTTTGTTCTAATATATGAACTTCACTTAAGGCTACAACAAAATTACACTGATCTCATGAGGTTAAATGTGCTCAAATATGCTAAATGTCACTGTATATTGATCATAAATGGCCTTCTGTCATCAGGTGCTGACTGAAGAGGGTTTTGGAGCCATCACCACAGAAATAGCAATGACTAAGGAGTTTTACTATGCAGAAGACTATCACCAGCAGTACCTCAGCAAGAACCCCAACGGCTACTGTGGACTGGGCGGCACCGGGGTCTCCTGCCCAATAGGATGGAAGAGTAAAAATTAACATGCTTCTCCTGTCCTGTGATTGAACAAATTTATATTGACTTGCCTTAAAGGGATAGTTCACCTAAAAATGAAAATTAGCCCATTATTATATATATATATATATATAGCATTACAATATAACATTTATGTAATCTATATAACCTACCAGTCATCAGTTTTTGAGCAGTAAGATTTATGTTTTATAAAGAAGTCTCTTTTGCTCACCAAGCCTGCATTTATTTGATTCAAAGATTGAAAACCTCTATGCGAACACACTTGCCCGAAAAAGTGCAGGGGACGAATTTACTTGATATTAAAAGTGGGGGGGACACGTCCCCCACATAATCTACGCCCCTGACCTAGGATGCCTTGAGGGTGAGTAATTCATGGGCTAATTTTCATTTTTGGGTGAACTAACCCTTTAACTAAAGCAGTCACCACTGCAATACCCAGGACTACATGATATTATTGTTGGATATAAATAAAAAATGTATAATACAACTGCTTTATAATGCTTTGTGTATGTGATTTTTGTGATCATTGCATTTGATAACAAAACCAACTGACATTTTCTGTGTAATGCAATGACATGCATACACTTCAAGTGTGGATTAAGTGTCTATAGAATTTTTGGGTCCACTGTGTACTTGAGGTTTAAATAAAAGGTAGACACATTCTTGTCTATGGCAGGCAGTATTGTGTGTTCATGTCTGTGTGCTTGTTCTAGATCCATCTGTCTATTCGATTCGCATACATACCTATTCATCCCTCCATCTGTCCACTACCTATGTGTTTCCTTCCATCCCAGCCATGCAAACAAGCGCTCTTGTCCCTTTCTGAAAGTGTCAGTGCATATTTCATCTCCTAAATTAAAGACTTGACTGCAGTCCCACACAAACAAACACAGCCTCTTGCATTCACACAGCAGAATTTGTGTATGTTGTACAAGGAACGCTGCGAAAAAAGAACCCTTTGTTGATGGCACAAACAATCGTGCATGAACACCAATTAGCTTTCCTAATGCAAAAAAATCTAAGTATTTTTAAAGGACTAGTTCACCCAAAAATGAAAATTTGCTTGAAAAATTTGCTTGCATTACAAAAAGATGTAATGAATTTCTTTCTTCAGTAGAACATTAAAGATGATTTATAGCTGGATCCATGGTGATCCTTTGATTCACAAAAGGCAAGGCAAAACAGGAAACACAAAATTAATACCCATGGCTTCTAACAACATATTGAGGTCTTAAGAAGCGAAATGATTGGTCGGTGTAAGATGATTATTTTTGGGCGAGCTATTTCTTTAATAAATACATTTCTCTAAGAAAAGTTTGTAAAATACAGTCAAATGTTAATATGAGGGATTTTTTTGTATTGTGTTTTACCCTGTATTTTAAATTATGCATTGCATAGACTGCTGAATGGATGACATATTTTTGTAGGCTCAAATCCAGAAATGAGTATTTTAACACTCCAGTTAACATTATTCTGAAGTCAGTGGGTTTTTTGATTATTTATTTATTTATTTGGGGTTAAATGCCTGAAATAATGTCTGTGGTTAACACAATCTCAAGATATTTTCACATTTTATTCTACAACATAAAATACATCAGTAATACACATTGTGATTTTTAAAGCTTTTACTTGTCTTGAAAAAGGCGAGTGCTAAACAAGTGGCTAAATGGGACTACAGAGGATGTCGGGGACATTAAATATCATCGCATCAAACAGGTAAACTAATCTACAAACTAGTTCTCTTTTGTGTTTATAATTGTGATTTTGCAAACTATTCTAACTCAAACTTCCAAGGAAAAATTTTTTAAATACTGTAATGGTGGTGACGAAGTCATGTGACCGTTGTGTAGTTTGATTATTAGCTTGTATTTAGGCTTTAAAATTCATAAAAATTGTGTTAATTTGTGAAGATTATGATGAACAACGTGTATGTATCATAAACATTTGTTGGTCACAGAGGTTTTTTTTTTTTTTTTGCAATAATCCAAAAGCCAATGGAAAAATCCTATTTTTATAGAAGGAACCAGGGTGGTGCTTCTTCCATGTTGACCTACAAAAATACTTCATCACTGCAGCACTCTATTTTGTTGTGTTTTAAGGTTAAAGAAAATGTCCATAAACTTTATAGAAAAGGTACTGGTCATTTTCTACCAGGACATTTTTCTATATATTTTTTCTCTTAACAGTTCTTACAGCCAGTTTTTGTCACCTTATATTTCCAAGTAAAACTATTATGGGAGGTACTGGTCATTTTCTACCAGGACATTTTTCTATATATTTTTTTTCTTAACAGTTCTTACAGCCAGTTTTTGTCACCTTATATTTCCAAGTAAAACTATTATGGGAATAATAATAAGAATTAGTGCTGTCAAACGATTAATCGCATCCAAAATAAAAGCCTTTGTTTACATAATATATGTATGTGTGCTGTGTATATTTATTATGTATATATTTCAAAAAATAGGTTATGTTTATATATTAAATATATTTATAATATAAATTATATGAATATAAATATAGACATGTAAAAACATGTAAATAGTTTCAAAATATATACTGAATGTGTGTGTATTTATATATACATAATAAATATACACAGTATACACATATATTATGCAAACAAAAACTTTAAATTTGGATGCGATTAATCGCAATTAATCGTTTGACAGCACTAATAATAATAATAATAATAATAATAAAAACTAAAATATTATGATTTTTAGGCACAGAACCAGTAATACATTCAATGAAACTATAAAAGCAATGTAGCTTACATGTAAAAATGAGAGCAACCAATACTCATTATTCAAACTAGAGTGAAAGACAAAGACACAAATGCTTCTGTGTTCACAGCAAACATAGATATTTGGGAAAGCAATTGGTGTTTATGGAGGGTCTCTGGTGGGGCTGTGGGCATGTGTGGTTTTGGCTAATCCTCTGAGCAGGTGGCTACCGCTCCATGCACCTATTCCTGTGCCACACTCGGAGAGGGCCTCTCTGGGCAAGGCTGGCACTGGTGCTCAGGAACCTGGCCTGGCACAGCTTCTAACAGGCTGCTTTCTGCAATATTGTGAAACAAGGACACTCGGTGACGCACGCACTTTGGCCCCGGAACCTGGGCTTGGAACACACACACACTCTGTTTACTTGGACTAGCCAAGTAAGTGGCTTACTTGGCTTTTTTTCTCACTTTAAAAGTTTTTGACTCGAGAATCACTCTGAAGGATTCCGTTTTCAGAACAGGTTTACGCAATTCACAGGGAAGAATCGACTCGAATGAACGATTCGCTATTTATCGTAACATTGTATTAGGCCCACATGTGCTCAGTTTTCAGATATTTGGATTATCTTGAATCTTTATATTGTTACCGAGGGAGAAACGATATTGTCCACAAAGGTAATATACCATTGTTTATAAGTAACGATGTATATTAGGCAGTTTAATTCGTTATTATAGTACAAGAGACATACAAATATGTAAACAATACATAGACTGTATCGTCGCAAACCAGTCTCAAGAAGTTTCCCATGTGACAGTCGAACAATGCATTCAGTAACACTCCCGAAACTAGCCTGAAAATAAGTCTGAACTGAATGCATTTTAATAGAAATATAAGACTGCAAGCCATATACTAAAACATAAATATGTACCGTTAGTGAGAACACAACTAATTGACTGGCCTTACCTCGGCATCGCCTTAGAAACCAGCCGACGACGACGCGCAAAAACGGCAGACATCGTTTGTGGCAGTTGATTAATGGTGGCAATTTTGTTCGTTTCCTCATTAAAATATCTAAGTCTAACCAACTCCTGATGAACCTTATGTTTACTTTCTAGGTATATATAACGTTACCTCTCGTGTTGTCAATGTTTAATGTGACTCGTGACCTTTTACTCGTAAAATACATTTACTAAATACTAGTGAAATACCAATATATCGCCAAGGACGATAAAACAGACAATGTTTGGCCATGTTGAGACTATGGGCATAAATGCCCAGTCTCAACATGACCAAACATTGGAGATAAATAGATATTTTATTTTAACCTATGCCTCATATACCATAATTAAATATTCATAAATTATTTAACATTTATTTTGATCTATCTATACTGTATCTTCACAAGTCATCAGACCACACCAGAGGTTTAAAACCAAACTTTTTTTTAATACTAACAAAGAATCATCTGAACTACTTGTACATGGCTACCATGAATATTTGTACAAAAATGCAGTAAAAATATTATTGATTAATATATACAGATATGTCTCCTTAGTGTCGGCAGGCAGGACGCACATGTAGATGACAAGATCACCAATGGTCTTGCACGAGTATACACAATACAGATATTGTTTCCCAACATCAGTGACACTAACTTCAGATCAAAGACTTTAAGAACATAGATAATATCATGTCTTCAGGAGTACATGAAAATAAAAGGACAGTTATACAGTTACTGAATGATACTGTGTACAGTCATGTGAATAAGAAAGTGCAATACAGAACAATACAAAAATCTTAAATTACATGACGGTAAGGAAGGCTGGCAGCGTGTGAGACTGCTATAGATTTTTGACGTTGTGAGGAAAGAATATGGGAAGAGCTGATTGGCCAAGCAGGCAATAATGAATTGGAAGGGAAAGTCCAAGGCAGTGGATGGTTGGTTGGTATCGGTTTTGATATATTGCTCTTGTCCCATTCGTTTACACATTTATCCTATTGACATGTACTGATCCTGTGCCTCTTTTTTTCAGAGAAGCGGACCAGAGCCGCTGATTACAGAACCGTCTTTACTGACAAGATGCGCGTTAAATATCACATGCGATTAATCGTGCAGCCCTAATACAATGCCTAATGAAGTTCACGTGACCAAAAGGTATTATTATTTCTTTTGTTAAACTATTTGCTTCTATTATTCATATGCTCCTACTTAGGTGATTTATCAAAAGTTGTTGTGGCTTTTATATTTTGACTTTTAAAAAGGCAAGCATTCTTGCTTACATAACGCAATACATTGACATACGAATGACATTATATTTAAATGAGATCGATTGCTATTTTATTGCAGCCTAGTCTCAAAGCTACC